AGGGTTGGCTGTGATGTTGTGGGCAATAAACTCCTGCATTTTTGTTGCTTATCAAGGTAATGTGAATTGGCAAGGAAAGATTGTTTAAATAGACCTGTTAGATGTGAATAATTAGACTGGACTTCGGGGCAGCTGTATTAGGGCTTTCTATTTTTCAACCCATCTCTTGTAAAACATTTTTTTAATTTATTTTTTATTTTATGTGTATGAGTGTATTGCCTGTTTGTACTTAAGTGTACCTGTGTCTGCAATGCCTTCAGAGGCCAGAAGTGAGCATTGGATTCCTCTGAGCCTGGAGTTACGGACAGTTGTTAGCCACCATGTGAGTGCTGGGATCCAAGCTCAAGTCTTTTGTAAAAGCAGCCATTGCTCTTAACCACTGAGCTATCTCTCTAGCTCCTTTCAACCCATCTTTTAATTGTGTCTTTTGAGTTAGAATTTCATTATGTATTGTGGTCGCTGCTTCTTGTTACCCAGAGTGTGAAATTAAAGGAGTTAAAAATTGCATCAGCACTTACCTTGAAACTTTCCTGCCTTTAATTCTCCTAACTCTACATTAGGCATGGAAACTGGTCTTTCTCTGTGTCCAGTGGAGTGGAGGTGGGTTCTGGGGCACATCACTGAATAGTTTTGGAGAAGAATCTGTACACAACAGGAAACAGTGCTGTGATGATCACAGTTTTTGTTTTTGTTTTTGTTTTTTTATCACGGGCAGATGGCTGGGCAGGCATTTTGAGTACCAAACATTTGCTGTCTAAATGCTATTTGTGCTGTCCATTGACATAAACTTTGGGTCTTCTGTAGGACCATTCAGAACCTGGGGTTTGAGAATGGAAGCAGTAAAACAGCAGTAAACAGCTGAGAGGCAGGGAGTGTATGTAGCTCAGGGGAAGAAGGCGTTTCTGCATTTGCAAAGCCTTGGGTTCAGTCCCCTGCACCCAAGACTGGAACCTGTTGTCTCCCTTCCATTTAAGAATCAAGGGCTTCATCATCCCTCCATACTCTTGCCCCGCTCTGACATCTCCTGAGGTTCATCTGTGTTCCACATGTCCATGGTAGCTGCAGGGGTTGCAGGCAGCATCCTGAGATGCAGCTGGGCTGTGGGAGTCTAGTCAGTAAATAACAGACACTTCTAAATGTAACTTTAGGCAACTCTAAAAAAAATTGTTTCCTATAATGCATGAATGAACTTTGTGAGGGAAATAGAGAGCTCAGCTGTGAGCAAGGCTTCAAATACGGTGGATGATACTTTTAATGTGTTTTAGTATCTGAGGGCAGGGTACCTAGCATGATAATGAATGGCAAGGTGAGTTCCTAAGTGTGTAGTTCCCTTTCAGGAAGGAGCCTGGGTTGAAGAAGGGAACAGATGAGAACCCAGATCTAACACACCTTTTCTTACCTCTCATCTCAGAAAAATGGTCATGGTGATGCAGTTTTTCATTTACTCAAGAAGTTCAAAACTGATTTAAATGTAAGGATCTTTGGGATAGCAGCTTCCATTTAAGTATGGTAGCTGTGGTTTTGACACATTTCTATTATGTCAGATGTTTGAGCTGTAGAATTAAAGATTAAGGAGCAGAATAACAAGAGAGACCGAATCTTCTTTCTGTTAAGATATGATGTGAACCACGTTGTTTGGAATGAACACAATTTTGCAGCCTCTGTGGGAATGTGGCTGTAGTAAGTGAGGGGAAGGTGTGTAGTGTGAACATTCAAGTTCCCACCTGCTTGGAGCACAGACAACAGCTTGGCACAGAATCATCCTGTTTACTGCAGGCGTGTTTATGTCATGGTTTTACTGCGAGTACTGAGCGTTTATAGAGTCAGTCAGGATGTATCTTTTGGGCATCTTCCAGGTTTAAAACCTCAATGTGGTGCAAAGAATAGTAAGATCCAACTTTTATACTCTAAGGATTTATAATCTTTTTGGGATCATCAAACACAAGCTATAGCAAAATACTCATGTGTTAGGTATTAAAAGTGTGCTTAAAATTACAGAGGAATTCAAAGAACAAAGGCCTAGGTCACCAGGAAAGTCTTCATGGGAAGGAAGAATTTTGTTTAAGGAAGGAATTTTCAGGTGTATTTCCTTTAGCCAGCAGCAGCAGTATACTGGAACTTGAAAATGTGTACTTTCCAGCTCCACCCCAGAACTGTTGAATCAGAAACCCTGGGGTAGGTTCAGTAGTTGGTTATGGGCTAAAGCTTGAATATCATTTTACCAAGGAAATGGTGGCTGAAAGCTATGGTGACTGAATTTAGGGCACAGAAGAAGCATGTAAAGATGACTGATTGAAGGAAGGAGGCTCAGAGAAGGAACCAGGGTCTGGTGCTGTTTGGTTTGGTTTCTGTTGAAGAGAATTCCTTCCGAACGTGGTTAGATCCTTAGGTCATCCAAATGTCCTTTGTAAGCATATCATTTTTGCTCTTATTCTTTTTTTTTTCGGGGGGTGGGGGATAGGGTCTCCCTGTAGCCCTGACTGGCCTGGAACTCACTATATAGACCAGGCTGACCTCCACCTCAGAGATTTGCCTGCCTTTGCCTCCCAAGTGGTGGGACTAAAGGTGTGCATCACTATGCCCAACTTTTTGTTTTTGTTTTTATTTTATTTAGGTGTTTTGCCTTCATGTATGTAAGTACACGCATGTGTAATGCCTGTGGAGGCTAGAAGAGGGCATCAGATTGCCTGGAACTGGAGTTATAGACGCTTATGAGTTGCCATATGGGCTCTGGGAGCCAAACCAAGGTCCTCTGTAAGAGCAGCCAGCATTCCTAACCACTGAGCCCTCTCTTATCTTTGTTTGAAATGATTATAGTATCTGGATAAGGGATTAGATATGTATATTTATGACATTATCTGGAATTATTTGGAAAATGTAAATACCGGTTTTGTGACTGAACTGCTAGGTAAAAGTATATGTGAAATAGGTGTTGGAAAAGAATTTCACGGTAGAGCTAGAGCTGGAGGTGTGCCATATAGGAGGGCCTTAGGTTCCATCTTGACAGACCTCCCTCCTCAAAAAAAAAGTTTCATGATCTTTCTTTAGGGTCCATGTAAATATCTGGTAGAGATTGAAGTTTTAAAGCCAAAATTCACTTAAAAAAAAAAAAAAGACAGGGTCTCATGTATCTCGGGCTGGTCTCAAGCTGTTCCACCTCCAGTGTGCTGAAATTCTGGTTCTGGTTATGTGATGCTGGGGATTGAATCCAGGGCCTCATACATGCTGGGCAAGCACTCTACAAATTGAGCTACATCCTCAGCCTCCAAATTAATTTTTTATACAGAAAAGTGGGGTGTATTTCCCTAGCACTTCCATTTCATAGATTTCGGGATTTGGGCCCTTTTTAATGGGTTTCCTATGGATCTTGAAACTGTCCTTTCATTTCTCCAGTAAGTTTAGATTAAATGTCAGATGATTTGGAGACACTGTTTGGGGGCTTACTCAGCTGCTTATGCTCCAAGCTGTTCTGCCCTTTAAACTGGAATATTTCAATAGCTTTTGGACAAGTAATCTTCTGATTCTCTATTTTAAAAAAGAAAGTTATTTTAGACAGGTCAGAGGAACAAAAGAAAAACCTATGACCAGATTGTGGCCCTGCAGACAAGCTTGAAGCCCCTTCCTAGTGTAATGAATTCATTCTCTTCTAATCTGGGTCTATCTTGATGCCACCAATTTAAGCGCTTGCCATAGGTATGTTATAATCTTTATTCCTTGGGGGAGAGTGCATTGAAGATCTTGTTTAAAGTTCATTTTAAGGGAACTTTCTGTCTTAAAGTATGTAATACTGTCTTAAGGTAATTGAGGGCTGTGCCTCAGCATCATTAGTATTCTTCACATTAATGAGTGAAATACAGCTGTCCTGTAGAAAGATACATTTAAGACTAGAACCAATGAACCAACCAAGGAAGGGTTCATGAGACTTCAGTAATGGATCCATATTAGTATTTTCTTCAGCCAAATTCCAGGAAAAAGGAATTGGTGACACCATCCTTCATAGTTTTTTGGTTCTAGATTTGACCTATGTTTCAAGGACTTAGGATTTGGTTTGTTTTTGAGACAGGGTCTCCCTGTAGATCCAGCTATCCTGGAACTTGTGGTATATACCAGACTAGCCTCCATCTCACAGAGATTGCCTCCGGAGTGCTGGTATTAAAGGCATGAGCCACCACATCTGGCCGAGTTAGGATTTTTATTGTAAAAGTAAAACATTTTCTCCCTGGACCCACAGAATCATAAAGATCTCATAGCATTATTCTAATGTACAGATGATTTTTGTTGTCAGAAGCCAAAATGAACTGCTTTCCTTCTAGGGGCTGCCAATTCAAGGGCTTTCTCAGTTTGAATAGGCCCAGGATGTCAGTGCAAAAGTTTTGAGGGTTTTCTGGCTCTGTAGTATCAGTGTCTCTTCAGTATCATTACTGACTTTTTACTCTTATTAAGGCAAGAGTGGGCCCCTACTCTGCTTCCCACCTCTCCCCACCTTACATACTAAGACCTATGTTTTGGCCGTTGGGAGCAAATATCCTCACTTGCTATGGATAGAGTTTTGCAAGGTCGCAGAGTAAGAACTGTCAGCTGACACTTGCTCACATGAGAACTATTAAGAGGGTGGTGTGGCCAATGTCAGAATAACCTTGCAGCTGAAGGCAAGTCACTGCATTTGCCCAGAGCCATATGAGTAGGTCTTGTGACTAATTAAGTGAGGACTACATAAACTCCAGCTAGTTAGCGCAGATAGCATGAATCAATCCAAACTGCTGGACCTGTTGAGTGTACTAGAGAACAAGTGTAGGAAAAGTAGGGAGAGATTTGTACTTGTCTGTATTTATTATGGGTCTGTCGAGAGCAGGTTTTTATAATGTAATAGATACATCCAACTTCTGAAAATCATCCAGGGCTTCATTTACATAAGGAATGAATGTTCCTGTTTTTTTTTAAGCTTCTAAAAGAGGAAATTAGTTTCTTGCCAAATAGCTTGTCTCATATTGAACAGGGAGTGAGATGGTTGCTTAGACAAGAACTGCTGGTCACTACAGAGTATACCTCAAATAACAAAGAAACTTCAAGACTGGGTCCTAGTCTACATTGATGATCAGGATAAATGGAAGCGCATTAAGCCACTCGGGAGATGTGTGGTGGCACAGCGAAAACCACAAATCGGCCAGCGGGCCAGCAGGAGTCTGCCAGATGTGTGAGTGATGCCGTTTCTGGTTCTGGAAGGATTTACAAGACAGTTTTATGTGCAAAGATTCCAAAGTGTGCCCGAATAGGAAGGGGCACCTCTCCTGTGGAACTCAGCAACAGGTTTGAAATTTTAGTTTTGTTTTAGACTCTCAGGGAAATGGCTAACTCACTGGATACCAATGAGTTGTATTGATTTGAAATGGTTTTCAAGAATGCTTTAAGTAGGAGAAAAGTGATTCCTTGTGGTCTGTAGAAACAGTCCTTTCCTCTACAGGAAAGGTATGGGCATGGGTATTTTTAGTTAGGATTCTGGCACCATATACCTTCTTAATTTTTCATTACCTCCCCTGGAGCCAATTTGTTAGAAATAGTCGAATCCTTGTCCTTTGGAAGCTTGAACAGCGCTACTTGCATTTATGAGGCAAAAGTTAAAGCTCTGGAGTACCAGCACAGGTAGAAGATGGGACAAGGACCAGGGCGCTGGCTTTTGGCCAGGTGTGTAGATTGTAGCTTTCCTGAGGAGACAGATGCTGAAGGAGAACCCAGGTTTGCTCTCGAAGATGGCGTTTCATGAGAAGGACATACTCTGATTTTACTAGCAAGCTTATCCATAAAGAATATGATCCTACTTGCTCTGTCTTTTAAAGTTATTTCATCTACTTTGGAAGAACTAATTGTACTTGTGGACCTTAATTCAAATGCTGTTTGTGAGAAATTTTATTGTATATTAAAAAACAAAGGATAAAGCCCAAAGAAACAAACTACAGACTCTCTGAAAACTGCATCTCATTCCAAAATTTTATGTTGAAAGCCAGAGGTTAAGCTCCAATTTTAACTTGAATTTTTAATTGAAAATTTCACACAATCAGCATGTTTCATAAACTGTTTATCCTGTTATTGGCTTAGTTAAAAAAAAATAAAGATACAGGGTTTTTTCTTTTTTTTTTCTTTTTTTTTTAATCTTTTTGAGACAGGGTCTCCCTGTAGACCCAGCTGCCCTAGAACTCAGAGTGTAGACCAGGCTGGCCTTGAATTTACAGATACTCCTGCCTCTGCCTCCTGAGTGCTGGGATTAACACCTGGCTGTTTGACTTGTTTTGAGACAGGGTCTTACTGTATGGCCCTAGCTAGACTTATGGGTGTTTACTATGTAACTTGCTCAGCTAGAATATAGTTTCTGTTATATTAAAAAAACTTTGTCTAAATAAAACTTAATAAAATGGTAAGTAGCCTACTGCCCAGTAAGAGCTCTGTAGATTGGAGAGCTGGGGAGAAGTGGCACGTGCTGGCTCCAGTGCTGCCCTCTAAGTTGAAGAGATCTGTTTGTAGAGCAAGAGGTAATGAATGAGGTGGTTCATTAGAAAAGATGGAAGTGTTCAGAAGGATTTCACTTTTATAATGTGTGTTCTTATCTGCTTACCAAGAAAGACAGTGAGAGTGGGAGTGGCACTCAGTGAGAGTAGGAGTAGCACTCTGCTACCTGGGGCCGTGACCATGGCTGTGACGCATAGCTTTTCTGAGTCTCGCTTTGTGATATGCTTAGATTATGTGAAAAATTCTTCCTTTGGGGTTCTAAGATGCAGTATCAGAGCGTTTGTACTCTATTTTTGTTCTTTTATGGAATTCCAGATCCCCAAGTACTTATTTGGGATGACTATGCACATAAAATAATAACTTGGACTGTGTCAGTTTCTTTAAAACTTGTAAAAATTTTTTTGTATGCGTCAGTACTTTTCAAACCTTTCAGTGAAATTGCTGTTTCAGCATGGTTTTAAGTTTTCACTTAACTACTGCTTTAAATATAATAGAACATTTTCAGGCCCGTTTCTCCCTTTAACTTCTTTAGATTTTCATCCCTAATCTTTTGTTTTTGAATTTTCAACAATTTTGACATGTTTTCTTTTTTTTTTTAATGGTGAAAAAGTATATATTTAGCATTAGCTAGCTGGCTGGACTCAGTTAATTCAGGTTTATTTGGCGGCATCCAAAGCATCTTAACCAGGAGCCGTTTGAACATAGGTCTTTTCTCTGCCTGCCTGCCTGCTCAGATGTACACTTTAGTCACATCGGTGTCAAGCTACTTCACAGCCTGCTTGATCTGGCGCTTGTTGGCCTTGACCTCCACAGTGAGCACAAATGTGTGTACTTCATGACTGACTCAGTAATCATAGCAGTCAAGCTTGTTTTCTTCTAGGGGTGTTCATCCAGGGGTATTTGGGCTGCCTCCAGAGCGCAAATGTCTTGGCCCTCTGGAAGATGTATTTTTGGAATTAACTACAGATCAGACCAGTTTCTTCACTGACTCTCTTCCTTTTCCAACAGTCTAAAAATTGGTGGACTGGTGAAATGGCTCAGTGGAAAAAAGGTACTTGTTGCCAAGCCTGATGACCTGAGTTCAATCCCCAGGATCTGTGTGGTGGAAAGAGAGAACTGGCTCCCACAAGTTGTCTTCTGACTGCCACATGTGTACATGCACCACACATACACATAAATAAATAAGTAAATGAGTGAATGAATGTAAAAATATATAGATATATATTTTTTACTTATCCTAGTATTGTGCTGGTTTCCAGAATGCTTTTAGTATTCAGGCTAAGTTCAAGGGTAGTTGTGAATTATTGACAGGAGATTACATAGTTAGGATATGGCTCTAAAGTGATCACAAGTTATCTGTTTGCTCAAGTCATGTGGTAGTCAGAGAGATGTCCAACTTTTTTTTTTTTTTTTTTTGAAACAGGGTCTCACAGTCTATCCCTGGCTGGCCTGAAACTCACAGAGATCTGCCTGGCTCTGCCTCCTGTGATTAGAGACGTACACCACCAGGACCAATCTCCAACTTTCTTTTTGTTCTTAAATTGGTAGTTTTAGATCTTAGTTGAGTGTATATATAAACAGATTTTTTGTTGTTGTTTTTTATTTTTTGACTTCTCGTTTTCTAGTTATACAAAGAAGAAGAGAAGGATCCCTAAAAACAGTAGTCATGTAATATAAGATTACCATAGTGACTGCCAGTGCAGACAGACAGCCCAGTGCAAACAGACAGTCCTGTGGAGAAAGAAGCATTTTGATTATCTCCTTGTGGTTCATAGAAGTTGTGCACTGTATCTTTACTTCCATATCCCTTTGCTTCTATGACACAGTTCAAAGAATTCCTGAATCAATAATAACAAAAATTCATTTTCAGTTGTTTGTCAAGAGAGAATTCCTTGCTAAAACTCAGTTGAAATCTGGTAATTTAAAAATATTTGTTATTTTTATTTTATGTGTATGAGTGTATTACCTGCATGTATATAAGTGCACCCCTATTGTGCAATGCCCATGGAGGTCCGAAGAGGGCATTGGATCCCCTGGAATTGGAGTTCTAGACAGTTTGTTAGCCAGCATGTGGGTACTGAGAAACAAACTTGGGTCCTTTGCAAGAGCAGCCAGTGTTCTTAACCACTGAGCCATCTCTCCAGCCCCCAAATCTGGTAATTTTTAAATATGATGGGTATGTGATATGAATTTTCCAAATAATTTCTTCTAACCCCTTTCTTAAAATCTAGATTATAGCAAAGTTGCTACGACTTTTTGCTTTTTTACATTTTCTTGGAAAAACTGGATAAGGCCAGAGGGTTGTCTTGGTAGTATTTGCCAAAGGTTGTATGAAACGTTCTTTCTCTAATGTTAGAGAAACGCCAGCTTCCTTGCTGTTAGTGCAAAGAGGAACTGAAACAAGCACTTCAGAGTCAATTGCGCTTAACAGTTTCGTATCTTGAAATTTGAGTTCAGAAGAAATTGTGCTGTTTTAGAGCTCCTGGCTGGGTGGGGGCTGGGGTGGAACTCAGACATGAAGCTGGTGCTGAGCATGGGCTATGCCGGGGGTTCTGTCTCCAGCACCCACGGAAATCACCAGCACAGAGGGGAGAGAGGAGTCACTGAGTGAAGATAGCTGACTTACGTTCAGTTTTATAAGGAAAATCCTTAGATTGTCTGAAGGAGTCACTTAACAAGAAAGTAAATAGAGAAACCAGATGTATTCTCCCTTAGTGAACTCATGGGATAAGATGACCATGATTTTGCTACCAGTTTTTATTTATGGCAGCTAGGATTACTGAGTGGGGAATGTAAAACTAGTCACGGATTTAGACAGAGATGCTAAGGTAAGAAAGAAATAATTCTGAAGATTTTAGTAAAAGGTCATCACAAGATGGCGTAAGTGCACGTTCCAGGTGTGGGAATTGCTTTTCACTGTGTTCTGCACACAGAAACTGTGAAAATCATTCTGCTGAGTAGAAAACGTGTCTGTTAGACAGGTTGAGTAAAGTAGGCAGGGAAAAGCAAAACACAAACTCCAACCAAACAGCAGTCAGCTGATTATCTTGTGCTTATGACAAACTTCACAAGCTTGCTGGGTGTGACTCTTTCAGAGAGCACCAGTGTCATAAGTTCTGCCCTTCCTGCATTCCTTCCCTTTTCTCTGATTTTATATGCAATAAGGACTTTTCTTTCACTTGTCAGTAGAGTCAGTTCCCATTGATTGACGGTGATGATTTGGAGATGAAATGTGAGATTTGGTGAATGAAGGAACACAGTGGTAATTTACATTGTAGCAGTTTCATGTCTGATTAGTTTTCAAGCTCTTTCATCCTTTCTCTCTGAGGACACATTTGTTACCAGACATGAATCAGAGAGGTGCAAATACAGGGGATTTTCACAGAAGCTGACAACTGACCTAAGCTTTTGTCTGGATCTTATTTTGGTAAGCACTGATAACAGGAGGGTAAAGTACTTGTTATTAGTCACCATAACTAATAGAGTCCAGAGTGATGGTGTACCAGACAGAAGGTGAGATTACTTCATAACAGCTTCTGTAGCATTTCCCCCCAAGTTCCTACTCAGTCTTGTGCTGAACTGGGATGCCTGCTGGACTGCTCCCCAGTTCCTATTCTCACTACTGTTCTGAGTCAGGCTCTGGCTTAAGCTTCATCCTTTTATTGTTCCAGTAACAAAGGCTGGATAATACTGAACAGTGATGTAGCAAGCCCTGGTCAGGAGAGTGGTAACTTGTGACCTGTCTCAGAGTGTAGTAGAACTCCCAACCCTATCATAACCAGTGGAATCCAGCCTGGGGCGGTTGA